TAATATATTATATGTTTATATTATGATCATTACATTATTACACAATTTATATGCAAAATTGTCTTCTAAAAAGCACATAGATTATAATTTTCCTGTGCATCGCACGTGTGATTACTAGTCTCAAAGAAACTAATTCATACTATACGATTCTATGAGATAAGTACTGTTGATTTAAAACATATCTTCAACTTTTTGGAATTATGAATTAAATACCAATAACAATATTTAAATATTTAATTTCGGCCGAATATTTGTATGTAAATTATATACAAATTATTATTTAGTTACCTAATGAGATAAAGATCATCCATATCAATATGTGATAAAGATCACCCATATTCCTATTTCGGCCGAATATTTGTATGTAATATTATTTACAAATTATTATTTAGTTACCTAATGAGATAAAGATCATCCATATACAATATGTGATAACAATCACCCATATTCACGGTTCTTATTGACATAATATTTGTATGTAAATGGTTTACAAATGATTATTTAGTTACCTAATGAGATAAATATCATCCATATACAATAGGAGATAAAGATTACCCATATTCACGGTTCTTAATTGACCCGTTTTCAATTCTATAAATAGGGTAATTATACCACGTAGATATCACTATATCCTCGATTTTCACATTCTTATTCCATCTGTTTATTACATTACATAGTTTCAAAATGCCGCTTGTGTGGGGGGCTGTCAAGTCTGTGAACCGTACTGACAAGCCTTATTTGAAACTAAGGGTTGTGAGAGTATTTGATCGTAAATTTGATGCCAAATTCAAGAATGTGTTGGAAATTGTCTTCCATGATGAGGAAGTAATTTTTTAAAATTTAGTATTAATTGTTTTTGGTTTATTTTGTATTTTAAACTATTTGTTGTTTTTTTATTTTATAACATATATATGTAATTCGTTTACTATTATGTGTTATCTAGGGTCATCATATGGCTGCACAGATTCGATCTGTCAATATCCCAAAATTCAAAGAATTTGTTAAAGAGGGTGAAGTCTACGCAATTCGTAACTATCAAGTCGATAGTAACATTGGGTTGTATCGATCGACTATGCACAAATTTAGGATGGTCATACATGGGATGACTGAACTCTTAAAGTTTAATGGGCGTTTTCCAGATTTCCGATATGATTTGAGAAATTTTGTCACTCTGCAAGATCCCAATAACGTTGATGATTCCAACCTTTTTGGTATGTTCATTAACTTAACCTTTATTTTTTTTGTTAATTTTAGTACTTAATTAATTTAATTTACGTTTTATTTATATTATATTATATATAGATATATAAATTTGATCAACTTTTCTTATGAATATTTGTAGATATTATTGGAATTGTTGTGGAAATTGGTTCTGTTTCTATTAAAGAAACCAAAGGTGTCCCCACTCGAATGATTGTTTTTCATTTGATCGACTTGGAGTAAGTGTTTAATTTTTTTTTTTTGACGTAAATAAATCTTTATATTTGTATATCGATTTAATTTAGATTCTAAATTATTGTAGGGAGAGAAAGTTGAGTTGCACTCTTTGGAGTGATTATATTGATGAATTTCTTCAACATGAACAACAACATGCTGGCGTTGATGGACGTCCATGGGTTATGATAATTAACTTGTGTAGAGCAAATGGTACAAATTTGCTACATAAATAATTATTTATTTTCGAAATTTTATATTGTTTTTACTTAATCAATAATGTTTATGTAGGTCGTGTTCAACTGACAACGTCACATAGTATCACTAGGCTAATTTCCAATGAAGTTCCCGAGATTGAGGAATTTCGGGAAAGGTTTGTGAAAAACATTAATCTTTTGTATTACATTCATTGATTTGTTCTTAAATTAATAAAAGAATTTCGGGGAAGGTTTGTGAAAAACATTAATCTACATTAATCTTTTGTATTACATTCATTTATTTGTTCTTAAATTAGTAAAAATATTGTGTATTTTTTATTTTATGAATAGGTTGGCAACTGCACGTGTTCGTAATGCTTCTTTAACTTCGAGGAGTTCGATTGTAGCATGTGATGAATTGGATGATCTTGCTAGTGGTAATTTGGTAGTCGCCTCTGTTGATTCCCTTTATGAAGTTGATAAGGTATTGTTAATGTATAACAAACAATTTAGCAACTACATAATATTTTCATGTAAAAATAAAATATAAAATTTTAAAATATAGATTACGTGCGTTTTTTATAAGATTGTAAAAATCTTATTTTTTCTTTCCATTTTCAACAGGAAACAACTACTTGGATATGTGCTACTATTAATTCGGTTATTGACGAGTGGTACTACCTCGCATGTCGCAAGTGTAGTACTAAATTGGACGAGAGTTCAGGCCATTATGATTGCCCTAAATGCCACGGCAAAAAGGGTGTTTTTCGGTTAGCAAATCATTCAAATAATTTATCTATTTATGTATTATTTATTTAAATATAACTTTTCTTTCAATTTTTTTTAGTTAATAGTTACTAATGAAAGTATTAATTCTTAGGTATAAGATCCCTTTTGTTGTTTCCGATGCAAGTGCGAATGCTACATTAATTTGTTGGGATAGAGATTGCGAAAAGCTACTTGGTATCAGCTGTGATGCACTTAGGCGTGTGATTATTGATAGGGTAATATATCTATACCTTTTGTTAATATCGAAAAAATAAATTGCAGTAAAAACCATTTTTATATTATTAGTTTACTCAATTTTTTTATGCATTATAGAAAAAGATTTCCTATGAGCTGCCCGATAAGGTCGAGGAATTGGTGGGAAAAACAATGCTTTTCAAAGTTCGAATCCAAGCCAAGCAACGTTTTGGCTACACTTCGACATTTTCTATTGTTAGATTGGTTAATGATGATAAGCTGGTCTCCAAATACAACCAGTGGGTTGTTGAGCATGAAGTATGGATTATTTTATTTCTTTCATTTATTTATCTATATCATTAATGAACTAATTTTTTGTATTCTTATATTCCATAGGAATCCGACTTTATGACTTTGCTCATGAGGGATACAACAACAAAATGAAGAGGTATTGAAAGGAATAAAATATTTCCAATGTTATATTGGTTAAATTTTATTATTTTATGTGTTGTAAAAAACAAATAAGGCTAATATATTCGTTTATTTATTTATTTTTTTTGTTAGGATGATGCAGATGAAGTTACTACTCCTATGAAATATTAAATACCAAACATGATTTTATAATAAATAATATAATTTATTTCGAATATTTTTGTTATTTCAGTTAATTGACAAAAAAAAAATCTAATTATGACGGTTCGAGTTTAGTATGTCTTGTAACAAAAGTTCGTTCTGTTTTTTTCTTTTATTTTTTTTAAATGTTCGACAATATTAGATCAATATTAACACTTTATTAAATCTGTGAACTTTTAAATGTGTAGGAATCGAGAAAACTATGATTTCGTAAAAAGATGACGTTCTTTTTTAATATGTATGTTCTTGCATAATAATGTGCAATTTATATAACTTTATTGTGCATTAAATATACTTTTATTTTATTACAAATTTACCTCAAGTGTCAAATCCAAATAAAAGAAACTTAAAGAAATTTCAATTGAGCCCCTTCAAAATATCAAATTTCCAAATAAAAAACCCCACAAATCCAAAAACTCAATCAGCACGTCATTCCCGTCCACCTCCACCAGAGCTCTGGAGTTCCGGTCACTGTCGATGTCGTCAACCGCCGCCGTCTTCATCGCCCAATACGCCGCCACAGCCCACGCCCATCGTAACGTTTCCCGGCGGCCATTTCTACAGTATTTGAGACGGACGGCAGCGGAGGAAGAAGAATCGCGGCGGCGACGGGCCAGATTTCGGTTTGAAAGGATAGCAGCGAAGCAGTTTCCATTAAAGTGTGTTGGAGGAAACGGGCGGCAGCGAGCGAGGAGGAAAAGGACGGCGGCGACTGTGGATGAAACGGGCGGCTGTCGGTGCATGTGGCGGGTGGCAGCGGAGATGTCGCCGGTGGCTGTGGCCTGGTGAAGGAACCTGCGAGTTCTGGCTCCGGCGGATCTACTAACATCGGCCGCCGTGTGTGGTGTGTGTGTGTGTGTGTCTAGAAATCTGAAATCGTGCAGTGATGAAGAAGGAGATATGGTGGTGGTGATGAAAGAGTAAATATTTTATTAATTGGTGGGTGGGTCCCACATAATATATGTATTTACCAACTTACCCTTAATTATTGGTCAAATGTACATATTTGACTATAATATGATCAATTAATTACCAGATTGCCATTAATGATTGACCATAGTTTGACTTCATTTGATATGTTTGATCTCATGGTCCAGACTTATTCTCATTTGTTTCACTATCTCTATTTCTCATATGATCTCTTATCTCTCTCTCTCTCTCTCTCTCTCTCTCTCTCTCATATGATCTCTTCTCATTTGCGATAATTCTATTGGAATTTCATCATTTTCTTATAGTGGACCCAATGATCCCAAGGAAGACCCGATGATCCCAAAGCCAGTCCAACAACCCAACAGACTTGGAGGTTCATACGATCTCCAACCGCAGAAATAAAAAATGACTCATAGTCAGTAAAAATTTTAAACCGTAAGTCATGATCCTAACAATAGACTCCGCTGCGTTAGAATTTATTTTGATAGATTTAAGTTTGCACATTGTCTACGTACCTTATAAAACCTAACAATGCTAGTTTTACTCAAAATACAAGTTGATGCAAAATGATCATCCCCTCCAAACACTAGTAAATTATAAGAAAAGCTCCCACATCCCTTTTTCATGAATTTGACATCATGTTAACTAGCAAGACCCCAATTTTTGTACGATATATTAACACACGGAGGAAGTGAATAAACTGCACGTGGCGGAGAACTAATTCTACTGAGGTTTAAAGATAGTGGTCGGGGAATGTCAAACATCTTTTCCTCGCAGACACAAATTCATTCAATCAAATTAACCAGCTTACTCGTGATGACAAGCCTTCAACTAATTGATATTTCAATGCTTCCCGAAAGACACGTCTCCAGGGAGCACCCAAAGTGGACTCGAGGATTGTTTAGATGACTCAAGTAAAGATCCTATCTGCAAACAATTACTAGGGATCATCACCAACAATAAGGTTTTTATACCAAGCCCAGTTTCCTCGTAGGAGAATGCAGGATCATTCTTCATTTTCTTATCTAAGAAATCAATGGCCTCTTGCTCTCCCTTCTCGCATTTGTTGCCTATCAAGAAACCAGATAGTGAAACTACAACATAATGTTGCCTTTGATCTGAAAGAACAANTTTATTTTGTGGGGCTCATGAAAAAAGCAATTTGTTTTTAGAATGTAAATTCTCCTCAAAAGCAACAATATATACATAAATGTCATCGAGAAAACCCCAAGAAATTCCCATGTGTCTGAACTTTGACAATCTCACTAAAACCAAGTTTCTTAATTTTTTCCTATAATGTGAGGCACCAAATGAAGAACCCAAAACCAACACAGAAACATTTGACAGAACGCCTGATGAAAGTTCGGAATTAAAATCTGGATATCAACAAAACATGCATTAGATACCACACTATATTTGCAAGCTCAGTTTAACAATTGTAGAAACAACAACAATAAGCCGTTAAAATCCCACTAAGTGGGGTCGGCTATATGGATCGCATGTCACCATCATGTATGGTCAAAATACATATCATCATTTAAATTTAAATATTTTAAATTATTTTTTATTTTTTCCTTCCAAGTTTTCTTAGGTCTACATATCATCAATGAGCTGAGGGTGCGTGAGGCTTTCGTTCTCTTGCGATAATAATACTGTTTCTCGTACAATGAGCTGAACTACAAAAATCAATAATTAAGAGTCTAAACTAACAAAATGGTCCACCTCAAGGGCAAGGACAGGATATTCCTCACTACCTCATGACTGAATCCACCTTGCCAATTACAAACATATCACCTGATTAATTAAGGAACTAGAATACAATAGAGTTCACTCACCACTTCCAAGGGCATTCTGAACGTAGTGCTGCTGATAGGTTTACAGGGAAGGGAGGTTTAGAGCAGCAGCAGCTACGGAAGTTTAAGGCGGAAGCAGCCGAGAGTGCCGGTTACAAAGAGAAACCTTCCATACACTCCTCATTACTGAATTTATTTCCCATACAACTTTATGCTTGAATTAGAATTGAAAACAGTAATAAAAAGCAATCTTCTCAGAGCACAAACCCCCCGCCCGATAAAGAGAGTAGGAGTTTTCCTGGCCTGCTGCTGCTATAGAATAGGAAACTGAAGTTGTCATGCCATCTTCCCAAAACAGAAAAGGAACTAGGCCTAGGCCATAAAAGATGTGTTACTTGTAAAAAGGAAAGGTATAATCAAAACCAACAACTGCAGGTTCTAAGCGCACACAAAACTTGAATTCTTCAAAATGCAAAAGAATTCTTGCAATATTACAAATTAAAACGAGTTCCCTAGTACAGAAATCCAAATACTTCATCTCAGCTCTTTCCCGCAGGAAGCTTATAAAGCCTCATTAGTTTCACTTCAAAAAAAAAAGTAGCAACAAGAATCAAGTAGCATGAACTGGGGTATCCATAATCGACTCACGCCAAGCGTACTCCCGAGCCCGTCGTCCTTGTCAACAATTTTGATAATGAAGTTTGGTGGGGCCACAACTAGCCTGCTCCGAATTTCGTCGACCAAAGCAATAGCCTCCTCAACTGTCATGTCCTTATGGTAGTGCCTATCCATCATGGAGAGGGCAAAGTAGGACCCATAGCCAAACGCGGCCTTATCAGTCTTGATAAGTGAAGCAATGTAATCTATGTAGAAAATAGATGGACCCGTCTGCTCATCCTATCCTGCCAGGATAATATTCACCATGTATGGTGTTGTAGCAAATTATTTTATTTTTTTACCGAGTACCGAATCAAAAGATTCGTTCCTCGGGTCGATCTCTCGAGGAAGACGGTTCGGAATTTGGCGTTGGTCTTGATCACACACGAAAAGAAAATAAGTCCTAAACACTCTAATTGTGATTGATTTGGGGAATTAACTAAAACAAGCTAGATCCAGAAAAGCAATTTAAAGAAATAACAATTAAATTTCTAGAGGAAAAGAAGAAGGTCTAGGGGTCGGGAAATCTCATCAAGTCTTAAACTATGTTGAACGCTTATTTGTTCGGTTACGAGATTAAACAAGCCTACACGTCTAGAGGGCTATGCTCAATAACTCTTCGTAACAAGAGCACAAACATAAACGATAAATTCATTCAAACAAGCAACACATAGACAATACTTTTACGAACATGTCTACTCTATACGAGCCTAAATCGACCGACGTCTCCCCTCTCGGTTCTAAACGTCGATTAACTAGGTTAGAATGGTGATCAATCAACTAACCATATAATTCACACAACTCGTATAGATTGAACAAAACACATTCCTCATAATTCAAAACAAGAATCAAAATCCCTAACCCTAGGTGAATGGATTACCTCATGCTTAGATTCAATTTCATGTTAACCGGAATTAAGAACATAAAACCAATCAACAATAATAAAATAGAATTGAAAAACTTACAATCGGATTAAGAGTTGCAAGATTTCAATCCAAATAACTTTGTGTCCAACAATCCAAGCATGAGAGAAAAAAAAAGAAAAGCGGAGAAATTTATCCTAACAATATTGAGTTTCTGGAGAGAAAAATTGAAAGGAACAATATTGGGGATTGTTCCTTAGGTCTGGGGGATCGTTTTGATATATAGTGCTCGAAAAACGGAGCTAAAACGAGTAAAAACGGAGAAAAATAAAAACAGGGTCGAACAGGTCGCGACTCGCGAGTTGACTCGCGAGTCGCGAGTCGGACGGGTCGTGGGGTCGCGCAGCTGGTCGGAGGCTCTGTTTTAGTCGCGAGTCGCGACTTTGCTCTCGCGAGTCGCGACGTAGGCTCACGAGTCGCGACTTTGCTCTCGCGACTCGCGACTTTGGACTGCACTGCGCCATTTTACGTTTCGGGCTCGTTTGGGCTCATCCGAACTCGGAATTGAGTTTCGTTTTTTGCTACGTGTCACTAACAAACCCATCTATCCAATTGTGCTCTCAAAACCAGCTTTTCTTGAAGAGAAAATTCGCTCGAAGCTCCTGACCTGCACACCAAAAACGACAAAACACAAAAGAAAACCGGAAAAACAAATGGAAAAACACCTAAAGACTCAAGATGAAGGAAAACACATAATAAAACATGAAACGGACTAAAAACTAAAGAAAGGACCTAAAATGGGGGAAAAAGAAAGATAAAATAAACACGAAAAACGCAACAAAAATAGGACAAACATATGGATTCTGAAATAAAAACAGAAAACACCAAAGAAGAGCAATTTTATTATTCAAGGTCGACGAAAATGTAGTCGGAATGTGCTACATGTTCAATTTGAAATACTTTTGAGTGAAAAGGTAAATTAGTACCAATAAGAAATACATTATTAAAGAGTGTACAGCAAGTGCTCTTCAACCAGAAACTCGGGAAATAAAGTTGCAAAACTAGTGATATAGACTTTTTCCATTTGAAGGTGCGGCAAAAAACACATGGAAAAATGATTGAGCAGCAGAAAAACTCAACAATGTTACCGATCACGACAAGACTTTTTCCATTTGAATCAAGAAACTTAAGTTCCATTTTGGTCTAAATTGCAAAGCAAATGGGCTTCTATATGGGATATTTTGTAGGTGATCCTCTAATTTCTCCCTTTTTCTTTCCCTATTCTCCAACAGTGCCCACAGCCACAGGTATAGTGTGGTATACACAACACTACACAAACAAGATAATGTAAGCAAACATTAAGGTCAATAATTATTTATGATCCACGGAGAAGTCTGAAAAGAGCGTCCACCATTAACATTCAGCTAATATGTATCAAGTACCTCAAAGGTTGAGATGTCTCTGGTTTTGGTTTTACTATCGATTTCATAAGCATCCCTCAGCGTCTTAAGATTAGTGCATAATAAGCGTACAATGAGCTGAGGGTGCGTGAGGCTTTCGTTCTCTTGCGATAATAATACTGTTTCTCGTACAATGAGCTGAACAACAAAAATCAATAATTAAGAGTCTAAACTAACCTAATGTTCCACCTCAAGGACAAGGACAGGATATTCCTCACTACCTCATGACTGAATCCACCTTGCCAATTACAAACATATCACCTGATTAATTAAGGAACTAGAATACAATAGAGTTCACTCACCACTTCCAAGGGCATTCTAAACGTAGTGTGCTGATAGGTTTACAGGGAAGCAGCCGAGAGTGCCGATTACAAAGAAAAACCTTCCATACACTCCTCATTGCTCAATTTGTTTCCCATACAACTTTATACTTGAATAAGAATCGAAAGCAGTATTAAAAAGCAATATTCACAAAACACAAAT